CTCTCTCTCTCTCTCTCTCTCTCGCTATCATCTTTTCCTTGCGAATCTCTTTACTAATCTCTTTCCCTCTTTTACTCGTCTCTCTCTCTCTCTCTCTCTCTCTCTCTCTCTCTCTCTCTCTCTCTCTCTCTCTCTCTCTCTCCCCCCCTCTCCCTCTCCCTCTCTCTTTCTCTCTCGTTTTATCTTCGTCTTCACTTATTTTCCCTGTCCTTTTTCGGATTTTTCAGTATCGAAAGTGCACTTCTGCCTTTGGTTGTACAATACAAGAGGATCCTGCATTGTACATATCACCAAGAGAGACAGATAAATAAATAGCCAAAAAAAACAAAGATAAATAGATATGTATAGATAAATAAATAGACAGATAGATAAATAGATCGATAGATAGATAAATAGATGAATAGATGGATAGATAGATACATAGACAGAGGGGAGGCAAGACAGAAAAAAGGAGAGTGAAAGGGTGCATATGTGTGTGGAAGGGGTGCGTGCGTGCAATGTGTGTGTGTGTGTGTGTGTGTGTGTGTGTGAGAGAGAGAGAAAGAGAGAGAGAGAGAAGGGCCGAGAGGACAGAAAGGGAAAGAGCTACGCGCGATGAGCCTGATGAGAACAGTGCTATTACCAAAAGACGTTTTTCTGTTAAGAAAACGCGATGACACACACACATCACAAATTCCAATTCAACTGCTAAGAGTCAAACGCGCAACTACTGTACTCGTATACGCCGGCGGCGTGACTCGCGACTCCAGTGTCTCCGCGATCGACTTCGCAAGTAGCGCCGCGATGGTAACAGACGCAATAACTAGCGGTAGAGATGCGCGCGAAGTTCGTGTTTTGGAACGAAAGATATCAACATTTTCATCGTCATTTCTCCACAAATAAAATAAATATTCTTATTTATCGCTTAGAAGTACGTGAATTATATACCCATAGCGAAGGCCGAACTTTTTCGATGTCGATAATGTCAACATTTCTAATCTTATTTTCTATGTTATATATCTATATCTGTCCTTGTCTAACGAGAGGCATCTGTCCTTGTTAGGGATCCTCTAGTGAGGGATAGGACACCGAGGCTGCAGGATGCGGATTGGTCGTCCGTCATTAATGGGATATTTCCGCTTTGAGTATATTTTAGTAAAGATAGTGTATAGTATATAATATGTCAATTTATGACATATGATCACAGTATAAAGCCCCTTGCACAATGCTAGGCAACCGCCGTAGAGTTAGCAGACAAATTGAATATTTTTGAATTATTCTTTTTCATATAATTTGGGAATCGTTTGGGGAAGTTTGGGAATAGTTATTTGTGTAACAAGTGAGGTAAGATAAAAATTCCCGGGTGCGGTTACAGCACTCGCCTTCGGCTCGGGAATTTTCCGGGAATTTTCATCTTTACACACGACTTACACTCCCTATTTTATGTTGCAAGTGCCTGGAAAGTGGTCTATCACGCACGCGTAGCGTGCGTAATGGGGCACTTTCCATGCACGTGTTGCATAAAATTGTTTAAACATTTGGGAAAGAATAGATTTTTTTGTTATTAACAAAATTTATTGAGCGTCAAGTTAGGAGATAGCGACTATGTTTAATGTTTATTATAAATGGAATCGATTGGAAATTATTTGGGGATGATATCTTCATTGTAATTTTTATTTGGGAAAAGTCGCTTTTTTTGTAATTTAAATAAATCTTTGTATTAATGTCCTTTTTCGCTGCACTTCTGCACTAGTACAACAAGTGAACTTATTGCACTAGTTTAGAAGTGTAGCGAAAAAGAACAGACCATTATCGGCAGTAGTGTGAAAATTCGACATGACAACATACCTACTCCGAAAAGAAAATTTGTAGATAGATGTTATTTCTTTATATATACCCGTGTATTCACTTAATGAACACATATATGTGTATTTCTACATATATATTTATGTAATTTTTAAGATTATATATAAACTGCAATAATTAATTAAGTTTAAAATGTTTTATTGTAAAGAGGTTAGTATTCATATTTAACATACTATTTGAGGAATATTTTTTGACGGGAAAGCAATTCTCGACATTTATCCCTTAAGGACTTTTTAATCAAACTGTGTTCTTCTTTTGTTGATAGGATTTGACGTATTTCACTAAGAAGGAAGTCTTACAGTGAGTACTATCAATAAGATTGATATTTTTGTCTATTGAGCATAAATTTCTTCATATAATTTATCTTATTGGACTAGACTGTTAATTATTATATATGCAAAATTGTATTTACTTTTTCTTGAGTAGTGCACATAAAAAATTCAAGGCGCTTGCTCCAGAGAAAGTTGGACACAACAAGAATGCTGATCTTGCAGTATCCCGAATTGAGAGTGAATCCTTTCGGCGACAAAATCTGTAAGGTCTTCAGCTCTAGTCAGGATGGCGACTGTACCTTCGAAGATTTTCTGGATGTGATGTCTGTATTCAGCGATACTGCTCCAAAGACTGTGAAGGCTGAGCATGTATTTAGAATATTCGGTAAGCCGCCAGTTAATTATTCACGATGTTCTGAAATCCTCTTTTTGGTGACAAAATCTTATTTACAAAGATTTCGACGGTGACGATATGCTCGGTGTAGGAGACTTACGAAAAGTGGTCGACAGATTAACCGCGCCCCAGAGATTGAACGATAGCGACATGCATCAGCTTCTTCAGTATATCCTTGACGAAGCTGATCTGGATGACGACGGAGCACTCAGCTTCGCCGAGTTTGAGCATATTACAGAGAAAAGCAGCGACTTTTCTAAGTAAGACGCTTCGCCAGATCACAATTATAAAGTAATAATTTTACTCGCATTCACCAGTAACGACAAAATCTTTTTACAGGAGTTTTCGCATTCGTTTATAAAAGTGAATGTCGTTAATGGCGAACTCGCCCATGAAAGACTGAACATTAATCGACATTTCATTATAATAGCAGACATGGGCCTAATGCATACTTTGGAAAAAGAAAAAATCATGATCAACGTTTGCTGAATGTGCCAGGGCTCTATAATTTGGCCTAAGTCAGATCTTGATCTTTTTTTTAACTTTTAATTAATAAGCTTATTTATTTGTAAGATTATAGTAGGACCACGTAACCACGAATATAGATCTCTTAGTTTAAAAATCTCATATAATGCTATAACTAAACTGCCAAACACAGTGATATTATTAAAGCATATATATGATGCTCCAATTTAACGAAGAGAAATCACGTCTCTTCTCGATGAGTATACCAGTATACAAGGATTTTTAAAAGATATACCTTATGTAGTAAAGTTGAATGAATGCCCAAGTTTGACGTAGTGAAGTCATCATGTCAACTTGCTCCAGTTGGAAGACAGAAAATTCATTTTCAGTATAAACACAGGTATATTTAATAAGCGCATTTAAAAAATACATACCCGTATTGAAATATAATATTTCAAAACTTAGTTTTGACAGTATATATTTATGATCTTGTCTATTGTTCGAGAGCGCGCGGTAGCGCGAGATAGCGCGAGGTAGAAGACGACCACAAGGAACGAAAACAGAAAGTCCAGAATTACACGAAAATAAAGTAAAGTCTATTTAAATGAATATATATACAAGTATTTACAGAAGGTTCTTTCAGGCGGAGTGTCGTGAGCGCGCACAGAGTTTAGCACGGCGAAAGCGGCGAAAAAGCAAGCGAATCGCGGGTGCGAAAGCAAGTGCGGAAAGGCGGTGATAAGCGGTATAGAAAAGCGGTGTACTAGCGGTGATCTTCGAGCGAAATCGATTCCGCGGCACAGCGGCGGTCCTTTTATCACCTCCGAGGCGAAACTCCCTCCCGGCAGATTTCCCAGAATTTCCCGGGAGGGTGATTGGCCATCGGAGCCCTACGTCACCGTGTGGACGTCACCGTTTTCACGTGACGACGCGACGGAAACGTTACTTGGTTTTGACTGCTTTGTTTATAGCATGGATCTTTCTTTTGTAAGAGCGTTGTTGTTTGAGCGACCGGTCAACCGTGGCTGTGTTATTGCTAACAATTAGCGAACTTTCCGGAATGTAACGAAAGATCCATGCTATAACGTGACAAAAATTATTCCTTTGAAGCGAAGTTATTTAGGCGAGTATTTTATAGAAAGCGTGCTTGCGCTGACATGCAACCGAACGCGATTTCCTTGCGATGCGACTGATCGCGATCTCAAATATCTATATATTATAATAAAAAATTATATAACATCCCTTGTCTTATAAATAATAATGATGCTAAAGTTATCTAGTTTCTTGCTTATTATACTTTATTACAAAAATCACCAATCCACTGTTACAACATCCTGTGTATTGTAACGATATCCCATTTGATATTATATAAAAACGATAATTTACCACAATATTCATGGAATTCAGTCGCGTGTAACTTAGGACTGCAGATACCTGCTAAAAAATAAAAATAATTATTTGTCTGATAACAGCATACAGAAAAGGGTTTAGAAATAATAGTCTGTAACACCTTTAGCTTCACATTCTGTACATACTGTTTATAAGATTATAAGATATATTGTTTATAAGATATAAATAATCCCATGAGGGATAATCACAGTCTTATCATTGCATGACTCTATCGTAGTTTTAAGATTGTTGCATAATAACCAACGACCTGTAATTCGCCGGCAATAAGGAACGAAATGACTAGGGGTATAACCAACGACACCTGCTAATCTAAAAATTAAAAGAGTAATTATAATACTGCACTTCTTTTAATTAATTGATGCCTGTGGACTGTGCTTACCTATATTTTTTCTCCAAATGCAGAACAATCGGAAAATCACCTAGAGTACATTGCATTCCAGTAGTCATTTGGATTCGTGGTCTTATGTCAAGTTCGATGAAAATGTGGAAATTATAGTGCAATAAGTTTACTTGTTATACTAATGCAGAAGTGCAGCGAAAAAGAACATTAATACAAAGATTTATTTAAATTACAAAAAAAGCAACTTTTCCCAAATAAAAATTACAATGAAGATGTCATCCCCAAATGATTTCCAATCAATTCCATTTATAATAAACATCAAACATAGTCGCTATCCGCTAACTTGACGCTCGATAAATTTTGTTAATAACAAAAAATCTATTCTTTCCCAAATGTTTAAACAATTTTCCCAAACTTCCCCAAATGATTCCCAAATTATATGAAAAAGAATAATTTAAAAATATTAAATTTGTCTGCTAACTCTACGGCGGTTGCTAGGCAACAGGCAGTAGGAACAGGGAATAGAAATCAGAAATCATGTATAAATGCAGAATAAACAGTGACACAGGCAATAAACACAGAGTTTCCGTCACGTTGGAAATTCTGTGCCTATTGCCTGTTGCCAATCAATCATAGCATTCGAATTTTTTAGGTTGTAAGTAACGATTTTTTGGTTATTTCCTGTTCCTATTGCCTGTTGCCTGGCATTGTGCAAGGGGCTTTACTCATACTGTGTTATAACTGATAAAGTGAGCAAAAGAAAAAATAAAAAGGTAAGTATTGTACTTAATAAATCCAATTTTATTAAAACTGAATGTGATTTTATATTATCAGAGAGAAGGATATTATCATTTAATACTAAAATAAGAATATATATAGAGAATACATAACCTCAACTATAAATCATCAAATTAACCAATATTGATAAATATACCCTTATGGAAAAATACAACTCAACTTTTGGTGTTAACCGTTAAAAAAACACCAAAAGAATACCCTTAAAGTTGGGTGTGATTTTGGACCGCC